TTACTTGCTTTGCTGCGACCCTGCGGGACCGTTGCTTGTGTTACCGTTTGAGAAACTTTTTGTTGACTTTAAAGACGCTTAAGCTGAACATACAGGCAATACTCTCTAACTTGGGATTTACTTTAGTATTTCTATTGATTCGCGCCATCACAAGAAAGTTAGAAAATTTGTGTCTGTATTAGGGTCAACCATTGCGCTATACAAACTCTAAGATTAGGGAAAGTCCCCTCGGTTTCAATGGTGCCGCTTCAAACGGTGGCTGTTACCATTACGACCGCGATTTGGTGAAGTGGGAAATAAATACTACTTCTGAAACACCAAAAATCGTATAAATTCCTAAATTCCTCTGTGAAAACTTTTTTTCGTTCACAGAAACTTCCTTTTCAAAAACACATGTCCATTTAGCGGAAACGATCTTCTTTCAAAAAACCCCACATACAACTTTCCTTGTCGAACGCTGCCAGTGGACAGTTGGTTCTAGGCAGTACACAAAGGGTCCTACTGCGCGATACGGAGCGCCGTGAAGAATCGGCAAAATGATTTTTAAAGCCCAAGCTTATCGTCAAAATACAAAGTAAAACTTCTGAATAGCCAAGTTGATGGTTTTACTTTTTCGATTTCATATTATCACGTCACTTTCTTCAACAGTACAGTTGAACGCATATGCAAACCGGTTTTACTAAAAACTGTATGCACTCTACGGTAATTTCCCTTTACTGTAAAAACTCACAAAGACGCACTTGAATTACGCCTAAGGTCAACGGCTTTCAGTGGCTCGTTACAACAATGACTATCCCTTTTGTTAAGACGATTAGCAACCGCTTCTTCATTTTTACACCGCGCTTCCTCCAGAAGATCAAAAGATTTGTGACGTATGAGGATCAACCACTGCGCGTACATATAAAAGATAATAATACTGATCCTCTTTTCTATTTATTTATATTTTTACACCAGATGTTTACTCGCTAATCAGAAATTCTGCTTTACACCCGTTCATCCAAATTTTCACTAGCTCACTGATATACCCGCTTTTAACTTGTTTCTATTTATTCATATTTCTATTTATTCACTCACTATTGTATTTTTTGTTAGTTATTATTATTACTCATTATATTCTTGCTATTTATTTATTATTTGTATTTTAACTTGTGTTTATCTATTACCTGATATTTGCATATTTATTTATTTAATAACATTCTTCTCGTTTAGTAAATACTCTTTGAAAAGTCTTCAGTCTTGCACAGGTAGTGTTTTCTGAACTTCACTGGTGCATGCATGGCGCATCCCTCAAACGGGATCGATTACTGCATTTCAATATCAATAATATTCTTTTCAATTCATTTTTTTTAAAGTGAGAGGATACTTTACCAGCCTCTACTAGTTGTTGTGATAACCGTAAGCTCGCATCGCGGCGTTCGGTCTGTAGGACCTAACCAAATGTACCAGCTCAAAAGAATGAAAGGACGGCCGCATTGACGTTTCCAAGGATGGGCTTGTGAACAATGAGCACTTTATCGCTTTCACAATATTTTAGACCCAGCTTAAAAAGGAGTCATAATAAGTCATAGAGAGATCCGATCAGGTGTTTACTTGCGATGCCTTTTTTGATATGGTTTTTGGAGTTGCGACTGCTTTACTGAAATGACGCCAAACCTGTTAGTTCCAGGGTACAATGGTAATGTGAAACATTACATCGTATAACTTCGTATAATGTTCCATCAGGTTTCTGCTCAACAGTGCGATGTTTTCAAAACAACGCGGTGAATGAGATACACATTTCTGGTTCAGGGTATAAAAATCTTTTTGCAACATTTTTAGACTAATGTTGGATCAGTTGGAACAGCGTTTTGCCCGAGTCGTTCATTTTAGGAGCTTCGTCCAGGCATAAGCTCTACCCGAAGAAGCGCGTCATCTCAGCGCTGGGTCACTATTAACTTAGCCGAGTCAAGCAGGGATCGAAATGGGGTCGTATAAATGAAGGGCATGGAAAACAGCATTATTGAAAATTTGAAGTGTCCCGCAAACTTTGGTTCTGACGTATGCACCTCCTCGCCGCTTCCATGATCTTTATAGGGCGGAACAGGGAATGCGACGTTTGGCGCTCAAGGAGGACTATCGAGTTGTGAGCGACTTACAGCGCTTGGACTAAGCCATAGGGAGAGACAAGGACTTTGGGGGAGGCCATGGGCCATTTTTGTTCTCCCTGGTATTTCTGCTCTCCTGGGTTTGGTCCTAGTGTCACCCACCAGCAGTTTTTGAATGCCGTGTTCTGCATAACCCCCTGCCCCCTAAGGACATGAGTGTCTGTCGAGTGATAGCATTTCTAACGACAGTAGCGACGCTGGAAACCACGAGAGAGATGTCAAGTGCTAAAAATCTTGAAAATATCATTCATTCGTCAAAATTGACCTGTTCTGGCGGTTCCGACAATTTAAAACTCCTCCAGAAGTCTCGAGCAATGTGAACAATAATTCTATCAACGGTTCCACCGCTTGAGTGAAACCGTACTTGAGCCAATGAAAAGATGACAGTTTCCCCTAATAAATTTGCAGGAGGAAAACCCAAAAACTTTAAAATTACCGTGGCAAGGATGTCTCAATTGGAAACCCGGAAGAGAATTGTTTATTGCAGAAGTTCGCCGATTTCTACAATGTCAGTCGTGAGGGGCTGGAGATATGGGTGGTTTTGGTCACACCGAAACGGTCAACCGGTCGCCAATACATGAATATGTCGATGGAGCTGCTGAAAGAGGTACTTTTTGAAGAAAGCCCCTCATTTTGATAAAGCGGCTCAATTTTAGGGGCGAACATGCACACTCACCTGCTAAACTCCTTAACACACGTACTAGGCTTGTCAGATCGAAGCAACTTTATTTTCGGGCTGAGCTGCATTAGTTGTACCGACTCGTTTGTAGATTAAAGGCACGCTCCGGGATTAGGCGCGCTCGCCTGTTCCATCCCGGGGTAGTAGGCAGGCGGACAAGCGTTGATGTCGCGCCCCTTTTGCCGCTTGAAAGTGCGCGACAAAGGCGCAAGGAGCTCGTCCGACCCGCAACTCACACCTTCGTCCGCAAGCCCCACCCTCCGCTGTCGGTTGCCACGTGGCGCTGCTTGAAAAGCGCGGGCGCATTTGAGGCAGCGGTCCCATTGCGACCCAATGTCATTGGCACTGGAGCAACTAGAGTTAGGTTCGTGAAACTCGTCCAACGCGCCTCTTCTCTATCCCAATGTGGCTGAAATAGGGGAGGTCTCTGTACGGGGCGTAATCGGTGGTTTCGTTTGCTTTCCTTCTCTTTTACAGACCACCTCCCACCTATAGCTTCATAACTGAACGCTTTTCCACACCTATTTTATCCCGAATCTTGCCTTTAAACGCACCAGTTTTGATGCTGGCCTATCACCGTGTAGAAAGGCGGCGCTTTATAAATTTCTAATGCCTGTCACGCTTTAGATCGGGGCCGTATGTGAAACGCATCCAAAAAAACGCGCCAACATCCCTAATGATCAGTTATCATGGTACCTAACTCTCACTGAAAGTCATAGTGGCATATGAATCAGCATTTGGTGCATAACCTAAGAACGCAGTGACGCACAATCAAAGCAGTGCTCTTGTTCCATGGTCAGATCTGCCACCCTTTTGTCACTTGAAGGGTTGAAAGTCGTCGCTAAGCACTGGGTATGGGGCCGGGTGGCAGCAAAGTCCCAACGCGGGATTGGGTGCCCTTCCCCCTGTCGGGGCTTGCTTGCACCCGGTCCTGAAGTCTGAGTAAACGTGGTGGCTTAGCCAATCTCAGCATATTGGCGACCGCCCGCCCCACCTCCTCTGGGTGCATTGTTAGATACTTCCAGCTTCTCCCAAAGCACTTTAGGATTACGCACCTATATTTATACATTGTAGGTTCGGCGTGATTTTGAGCTTCTTCTCTCGCTTGAACGTTAGATGTGTGTAAAAAAATCTTCCCCCGATAGTGTCACATTACCTCTTTGCTCGTCCTTTTGATGTGTACGCAACAATTCCAGACTTATGGTTAGACCTAAACCTATGTCGCCAGCTTGAGCGTAAACGCATGGATAAGCTAATATGGCTAATAGCTCGATCATCCCAGCATTCTAGGGACTTGATTTAATCGGAAGGCTCGAACACCTCCCAGAGTCGACCCGGGCTCGAGCCTGTAGGGTGAGCGCATCGAGTCTGGAACGCAGCGCGTCTCTTACTATAGCACAGCGTCGGGTCAAATTTGTCATGAGATTCATTCCACTCTCAACTCCTCGTTTTGAAAGAACACTATAGACATCTGCTGCGGAGGAAAATCGTGCAATTTCAGTTCATTGGCCAAATTATGGCTACAATTAAGTTGGATTAAATTCCTGTTTTACAATTGGAAAGGAGACCATTAGAATCAAAGCAGCGGAGGTCGGTGGTGCCGGATGAAGAAAAAAAACATGAAATATTGGCTAAGAACCTGAGGAATTGAGCCGCTTATGTGATTAGCCATCGATAGGCGTTGCGCACAGAGAGCGCTGCGGAAAGGACCACGCTAGGTCGCCAGGGACGGTAGTAAAGTCTCCTAAATAGCCAGTCTATAGTTGGCCAATAAGGTCACGTTGACCTCGCCTTCGTCCGCACCTAAAAAGCATAGGGAAAGGCGGGAAACTCGCGCTGACCTGCCGCAATGGGCGAGGTCTATGCAACATCTTAAGTGGCCAACGTATTAGGTGGCACCTTGCCTAGACGGCGAACCGGCAGAGAAAGGGGAAAGTGCGTGGAGATTGCAGAGACGCAGAGGGTCATGTAGAGGGCGACTAAAATGTACCCCTGAGTACATTTTAGTCGCCGTCTATCTGCGTCTCTTCAATCCCCATGCACTTCCCCTTTCTCTGCACGTCATGCATTGGTCGCATTGAGCGTCTCTGCGTCCCTGCCATGCGCAGAGCGCAGGGAAGAAGGTTCGTGGAAGGTGTTGAGTGTGGGCAGCAAGAAAGCCACTGGAGCTATCGATAATATTGATAACTTTCTGCCAATAAGGTGATCAGCTGTCCCCTGCAGTGTTCCACTTATTGATCGTGTTATAGCTCCTTCCTTGGTCCTGGGAGCATTTCACTACTGTACAATCATCTAGGCCATGATCCCACTTCAAACACGTCGATTGGCGCAGTGGGTTCGTTCCTTGTTGACATTGGATCGCTCGCGGGATCAATTCTCCATGATACTGGATGTTTTGCAACCCTCATAGGTTACTACCTTGCTTTCTACAATTCTTTCAAAGTAACCCAGCAATGCTTTGTGGTGCAGTGGCAAACGTCGCGCTCATGGGCGCTGCATTACATGGTTCAAGTCCATGGCGACGCGACTTTTGCTAGGAATGTAGTGAAGTTCGCCATTCAGAGCGGGGTCATCTGGCTGTCTCGCCTTTCATTATTCACCGTTTACGGCCGTAGTTCACCACCTTTAACTCCCAGTCTATGGCACTTTACTACCGTCCCAGGGGAATCCCATCAAGAATTTGCGTGTCGGTCAGCATTCACAGTAGGTCCGCCTGTTTTCCTACTAACGTAAGTATGTTTCCCTTTGACCTTCGACCTTATCGTGGAATCCTCCTTAAATAAGAAGAAAGCAAAAATGTTAGAAACAAACCTATTTCGATGTTTAAGGTGGAGAAATTAGACGAATTCGTGAGAAACACTTCGACTACTTTCAAAGGAAATGTTGTTCAGTTTGGAGACCTTCACAAGAATGACATCAATTATATATTCAACTGGTACAAGGTAAGTTTACTTAATTTTGGTCTTTATACGGTGTAGCTTGGTGGAATATTTCTTCAGTGCTTCTTGTTCAGTACGCTTACTTCTGGTCGGACTATTTCGCCGACATTAATCTCACATTTCCAATAGGAGAAGCTATGGGACACAAATTTTTCATTGGAAGTCATTTCTTCGGCGTCAATAGGCACCAAGAATCCGAGGTTTGTTCATGTGCGCACATATTCCACGATTAGTTCATTGAAATTAAAGATCCTTAGAGAAGTTCATAGATCGGTCTAATGAGGTGTAAAAAGGTAACGTAATCCGTTCGCAACCGCAGGGCTCATGATCTGATCGTTGTCTGCGCTTCACCCTTCCTCTGTGCTCCCTCACCTGTTTCGCTTACAGAACCACACAAGGTACTTGTCCATTTGCCCACCTCGGTGACGTAGCTTCGAAACTCTCGAGGTAAAAAGGTA